CTCTCCCTCTCCCTCTCCCTCTCTCTCCCTCTCTCTCCCTCTCTCTCTCTCTCTCTCTCTCTCTCTCTCTCTCTCTCCTCTCTCTCTCTCTCTCTCTCTCTCTCTCTCTCTCTCTCTCTCTCTCTCTCTCTCTCTCTCTCTCTCCCTCACTCACACACACACACACACACACACACACACACACACACACACACACACACACACACACACACACACACACACACACACACACACACACGGCACACACACGGCACAACACGGCGCAGCACTGCACAGCACACACATATCTTTTGCAATTTATTGTTAAGTGGGCGATGTTTATTATTTGTTATCTTCAAACTTCCTCATTTTCTTGAAGCTGTACATCCAAATGCCGCGCTGCCTTAAAGGAATCGATCAAATTTTTTGCCCGCTTTGGGCCGAAAACGTCTTGCTTGTTCAGATACATGGTTATTGATATAATATTCATGCTCAATTCAAGTTGACATCCCATCTATCTTTAGCCCTTTCTGAACTCGAAGAAATTTGCGCCCAGCTCTCCTGGGCTGCAGGCGGCACCGAGTCGCTGGATCGGCTCTCTTGGAGTCGCCCCTGATCTCCGTCGGGGAAAAGGCATGCCGGCGCTGCGTGGGGACACCGCTCTTGAGGTTCTGGCTGTTTCGCCTTTTTGTTGATTTCAGTCGGAAAGACGTCATTTTAATGTTCTTATATAAGAGAAGCACTTCGCTCAGAGACAATCGTGTAAGTAGGCACGCACGCCCGTCCGCAGCAGACCCCCACTTTCCCACTGTGATTAGGAAAGGAAGACCTGTTCGCGCCCACGGGGGAGGGTTGAGTCATTGTCTATCTGGGATGTTCAGAGCGCTCGGGCTGCCCGGCGTGGCTCTCCCTCTATGCGAGATGCCTTTTGTAGGCTCGAGAGTAAGTGGTTGTGGATTTTGGCATTATATTGATCTCTTTGGCAGCGAAAGGTTCGTTTCTCTTTCATCCGTTTCATGAAATAATTTCCGAGGCTGAGAACCTCTCCTCTGCGGGTCTTGCTGCCCCGCCCTTTCGGAGAACGTCTCGGGGGCGGTTTTCCTCGGAACCGCCAGTGGCAGCGCCGGTGCGCCGCGGCCTCGCTGCGCCTGGTCTTAGGCTGGCCGTGCTGGCTGGATCGCGATGCCGATAATGCTAATGATAATGTAATATAATATAGAATATAGAATATAGAATATAGAATATAGAATATAGAATTAATATATAATATATAATATATAAACATATAATATATAAAAGATGATGATGATGATTATTGTATATATAATGATGATGATGATGATGATAATAATGATTAATATTGATGATGATGATGATGATAATAATAATGATTAATATTGATGATGATGATGATGATGATGATAATAATAATAAAAATTATTAATATTGATGATGATGATGATTCCTGTTGGTCGACGCCACCTTCACAGGACATCCATTCATTTCCACATTTCTCGGCTGTCCTTTCGCTTCTTGCTGTGGACTCTCCCGCCCGCACCGTCCTTGGCTTCACTTCACGGCTCTTGCTGATCCTCCTCCCCCTCCTCCTTTTTCTCCTCCTCCTCCTCCTTCTTTTTCTCCTCCTCCCTCTCCTCCTTTTTCTCCTCCTCCTCCTCTTTCTCCTTCTCCTCCTCTTTCTCCTCCTCCTTCTTTTTCTCCTCCTCCTCCTCCTCCCCCCTCCTCCTCCTCCTCCTCCTCCTCCTCCTCAGTCCCCTCCTCCTCCTCTTCCTCCTCCCCTCCTCCTCCCCCCTCCTCCTCCTCCCCCTCCCCCTCCCCCTCCTTTTTCTCCTCCTCCCCCTCCTCCTTTTTCTCCTCTTCCTCCTCCTCCCCCCTCCTCCTCCTCCCCCCTCCTCCTCCTCCCCCCTCCTCCTCCTCCTCCTCCTCAGTCCCCTCCTCCTCCTCTTCCTCCTCCCCTCCTCCTCCCCCCTCCTCCTCCTCCCCCTCCCCCTCCCCCTCCCCCTCCCCCTCCTTTTTCTCCTCCTCCCCCTCCTCCTTTTTCTCCTCTTCCTCCTCCTCCCCCCTCCTCCTCCTCCCCCCTCCTCCTCCCCCCTCCTCCTCCTCCCCCCTCCTCCTCCTCCTCCTCAGTCCCCTCCTCCTCCTCTTCCTCCTCCCCTCCTCCTCCCCCCTCCTCCTCCTCCTCCTCCTCCTCCTCCTCCTCCCCCCTCCTCCTCCTCCTTCTCCTCCTCCCCCCTCCTCCTCCTCCTCCTCCTTCTCCTCCTCCTCCTCCTCCTCCTCCTCCTCCTCCTCCTCTTCCTCCTCCCCTCCTCCTCCCCCCTCCTCCTCCTCCTCCTCCTCCCCCCCCTCCCCCTCCCCCTCCTTTTTCTCCTCCTCCCCCTCCTCCTTTTTCTCCTCCTCCCCCTCCTCCTCCTCCTCCTCATCTCTCCTCCTCCTCCTCCTCCTCCTCCCCCACCCCCTCCCCCTCCTCCTTTTTCTCCTCCTCCCCCTCCTCCTTTTTCTCCTCCTCCCCCTCCTCCTTTTTCTCCTCCTCCCCCTCCTCCTTTTTCTCCTCCTCCTCCTCCCCTCCTTCTCCCCTCCTCCTCCTCCTCCCCCTTCTCCCCTCCTCCTCCCCTCCTCATCTCCTCTCCTCCTCCTCCTCCCCTCCTCCTCCTCCTCCCCTCCTCCTTCTCCCCTCCTCCTCCTCCTCCCCTCCTCCTCTTCCCCTCCTCCTCCTGCTCCTCAGTCCCCTTCTCCTCCTCCTCCTCTTCCTCCTCCTCCCCTCCTCCTCCTCCTCCTCCTCCTCCTCCTCCTCCTCCCCTCCTCCTCCTCCTCCTCCTCCCCTCCTCCTCCTCCTCCTCCTCCTCCTCCTCCTCCTCCTCCCCTCCTCCTCCTCCTCCTCCTCCTCCCCTCCTCCTCCTCCTCCTCCTCCTCCTCCTCCTCCTCCCCTTCTCCCCTCCTCCTCCTCACCTCCCCTCCTCCTCCTCCTCCTCCTCCTCCTCCTCCTCCTCCTCCTCCTCCTCACCTCCCCTCCTCCTCCTCCTCCTCCTCCTCCTCCTCCTCCTCCTCCTCCTCCTCCTCCTCCTCCTCATCTCCTCCCCATCTCCTCCCCTCCTCCCCTCCTCCCCTCCTCCTCTCCTCCATCCCTCTTTTTCCTCCTCCTCCTCCTGCGTCGGGTCGTGGGCAGCCGTGCTCTTTGGGCTCCGCCACCGCCTCCGCCGAGCAGAAGGAAGGCTGCGTTGATGAGATTCTTGCGGCGGCTTTGCAGCATTTTGCGTGCGGAGGGAAAGGAATCTCCGGAGCGAGACCTTCGAGGCGCTGACCACGGGGCGGCGTCTCTTTAAGGGCTCTTGGTATTTGGATCGTGTATGACGGGAGGGGAGGGAGGAAGGAAGAAGGAAGAAGGAGGAAGGAGGAAGGAAGAAGGAGGAAGGAAGAAAGAAAGAAAGAAAGAAAGAAAGAAAGAAAGAAAGAAAGAAAAGAGTGAGTTGGAAGTGTGAGACGCACATTAACGCGAAAGTTCATTTTACTGAAGACGACCAGTGGGAATAGCGGCTGCACATAAAAAAAAAAAAAAAAATGTGTGTGTGCGTGCGTGTGTGTGTGTATCTATTGTGACCGGATTGATAAGAGAAGATAAGAAGGCCGCGGACGAGGATGCTGAGGAAACGCGAGTCGCAGGCCGTGTCGTCCTCCGGCGCGAGGCCGCTGCCTTGGCCGCGTCTTGGAATGCCATCATCGCCTTCGTCGTGCGTCATGCTTCAAGTCAAACAGTGGTGCTCGTGTGTGTTTGCGCTGGGACGTACAATGGGCGAATGTGTTTGTAGTTGTTTCTGGCCCGGATCAACATCCAAATACGGTTTGTGAGTTGGGAATTATTTGAAGTTCGCGCTGCTGCAGGGAGATAGAGTCGGCTGCCACGCCTGAACTCGGGCGCCGGCTCTTGTCTCGCACGAAGGCTTCTTTCGGACCCTCGAAGAGCTTCCGGGCCAAGTGCGGGCCAAGGAGGAGCCAGGAAGGAGCACGCCTGAGTCGGAGGAAGATGCTTCACGAGGGGGGTTTGTCATTCACCTGAAAATTCGTTGAATTTGTTTTGTGTGTGATGCTGAAATATTTTTAGGATAAAAAGTATAAATATTCCTACTCTAGGTAAATCATTAATCCACTAAACATATTATTAATTGTCAGAGACTGTTGCCGGCACTAGAGGATGCTCAATAGTTTTAATTATGACTGAATATGATTAATCGGTAAATACAGCAGTGTAGTTCTTTTTTTTTTTTTTTTTTTTAGATAAATTAAAAGTGCCACTTACAGTAAAAGGGTAAAAGGTAAAAGTGCTACTTACAGTTTTATGTTATCACTTGAATTCTGAGTTGTTACATAGTTCTGCCCCTTTGCGATTTGAGCGAATCTGTGTGCTTTAAATTTCCCGCGCTCTGACTTCCACCAAGGAAACGCTCGACCAGAGAGAGGGGAAGGAGGAGGGGCGGAGGTGGTTGTGGACGGACGCACGGACGCACGGACGGGAAGAGAGGAGGGGGAAGGGACGAAGATAGCAAAAGAAGTAGAAGAGAGAGAGGCAGTCAGGGAGATAGCAAGTGAATAAGGAGGGAGGCTAGAAGGGAGGAAAATGGGATGTGATTAGGGAAAGAGTGATTGCGAGAGAGGGAGACGGGAGGGAGGAGGTAATGAAGGAGGAAGGGAGGACAGTGACGGCGGGGAGAGAGAGGAAGAGGTAATCAAAAAAGGGAGAAAAATAGCAAAGGAATGAAAGCAGAGGAAGAAAGAGGAGGAGGGGTTAGCAAAGAATTGCCGCGGGAGAGATTATGAAAGAAGGGGATAAGAAAGCCCTTGCTTTGGCTGTCACCATTTCTCCATCAGACGTTCGGTTATCGGCGTCCAAAAGTCAGAATCTGAGATCGAGGGGGTTATTTTGTTATGCATACTTCAGGAAACAGATTGGTTGTATTCATATAGATATGTATTTGACTCTTGACTAACACTGACGCCCATTTGCTTTGCAG